TTTTTTTTTTTTTTCACAAAGAAGGTTGTGTCTAAATCTAATATTTATATATACACAATACATGTTTTATTACATTTACATTAACCTTACTGGATCGGCCCACACGCGCGATGAGCGAGCCGACCTGCTCCAGCAGAAGGCGCCCGTTCACGAGCATGACGTGAGGGCCAGCAATCGATCCGATCAACCATTTCGTAGGGAACGGAGCGACCCAGTCCACAGCGCCACCGACTGTAGAACATTTAAGAATGCATGACGTCTGCTCACGCAGCAGTAAGCCGATTCCAGTAGTGCCAATGGATTTTGTCAGTCTTATTGATAAAATTTACATTACGTTACATTATATTTACTACATTTTAACATCCTGTGCTATCCTATTTCATTACTTACTACCTATTAAAGGTCTGAAACAAATAAACTATCTTCTAAAGAATTTTTAGTACCGTTCTTAGGTTAGGTAGGTACCTATGCAGTGCGTTGGCTGTGGGGTGGGTGCTTGGGGTACCAAGTACCAACAGTATCTGCAGCGGGAAGTCCATGTCCACACCACATGCTATGATAACGAAAATGATGATACATTTGTCTGTATTATTAATAATTTTACTTTACACTACAAATAATTTAAATCACGTAATTGTAATAGTATAACAATAATAGCGAAATTTGTGAAAAGTATCTTGGCTTGCTTGGCCTAACGTTATCATAGAGATAAAACGCGCCAGTGGTACCACATATTATATTGTGGTCGATGTACCTAGGTACTTTATCAATTGTTGCAACACACACATCAGATGTCAATAATTCGTATTTACTGCGTTGATATGTGACTGTCTGCGTGTGGGTCTGCGTACCTACTTGCATGCAGTCGTATCGAGAATAGCATGATCTTTTATTAATTCATCGATGTACCTACCGTATATTGGATTACTGGCATAGTTTGTGATTTAAAACCGCATCATAATTTTTTTCAATAAGTAATTTGTATTTTTTCTGTGTAGGTAGGTAGCTAAACTTTTCTGGTTCGTTGTCTCACGTTCACATTCATAGTATGTATCTACCTACCTTTATACTTTATAGGTACCTTTCTAACTTAAGTAGGTAACTAATTTCCTAACTTGCATTCTAATAATCTTGAAAATATTTGATTCTTAGATATTTCGTTCTTAGTTGTCACGTGGAATTATCTTGTTATAAACAATATCTTAATTCCACTGGCAACAAAGTAATAAGAATATTTTAGCAACGCACATTAGTTAAGTTTCGTTATCACATCGGCCGATTATGAGTGGATGTGTTTGTGTTTCAAGTCAACTGACAATATCAAATGTATTGTATTTTAAACATGAAATGCCAATTTCTGAAACTAGATAATAAACATGACATTGATTCGCTGTTCACTGTGTACCGTTTAAAAGTATGGATTTTTCCTTCTAGGTGTATATACGAAGATAGATTAAGTTAGTTCAATATAAGGCACTGAAGATGAACCTTGAATTTTTTTACCAAATAGTTTAGTAATAACGAACTGATTCACACAGCATGAAGCACCGACGTCCTTTTAACATTATTATCACCTCTGCGAGAAGCCGGTAGGGCCGCCTGCACTCCTCTAAATATCAAGTTAACTCATGTGCTAACACTGCTAACTGATATGACAACAAGTTCTACTAACCGACATGTCTCAAAACATTCATGTAACTTCCTGTAATTAGAGGAATATGTTGGTAAGAAACTGGAATGATACACTTCCCTCCCCATAGGGCGTAAAAATAACGCCATATCAAACCAGTCAACTTTGTTGATAGTGAAAGTGTACCTCAATTTAGTAAACTATTACGCTAGGTACCTTCAACGTATTACTTAGTCCACAATCCACTATAGAAAGGACCAACTTTATTACTAGATAATAGTAGATAGATACTCACAATCATATCAAAGCCACTTACTTTATTAAGTATCGTAATCAATGTCCGAATAAAGAATGTACCTACTGGCAGATAACCTAGTGATAAAAATTATGTTTTTTCTTACGTCTTAAGATAAAAAGATAACTTTGTGACTTAACAAAAATAGTTTATAGATATGAAGGTCGTCGTTCATTCATTTGCTGAAGTAAATCTCCATTATACGGATGCACGGTACACTTCAATTATTGTCTTGCACAGTAATGCTTGCACACGGTACAGGTGGGCCGTCTGAGTGCGCACGATACTTGCGCGCGACAGATTGTCGACTCATTTCCACCAAAAAACTGCGTACATACGTAATCAGTTACATGTTTGTAACTTGTAACGACCACGCCCACTATACTGAGTGAAATTTGTACTAATCAAACAATAAAATATGAAGTGGTTAGAAGTAGATTCTTTTTGTTAATAATGGTAGCTCTTTATGTTCTTTAATTTTATCTTCAAGAGCCACGGGCGCCTGTTTGATGAAGTTGCTATTATTGTCATCTTTATTTGTTATATAGCGGATACCGAGATGTTAAACTTAGTTTTTATACTGTTTAGTTCATAGTTATAAGAGAGGGTCAATTCAAAGACCTGGAGGTTTGTTTCCTATTTCAATAATACCAACTGAATTTTAAAATTTTAAAGTGGTAACAACTCTGATACGAACAGACAGTTGGAACCTAACAAGCACCTGATATGTAGATACACTTCTGCACGTCTCTTCTGTGTACAAAGCGTCATAACGCATTAAATAATATACGTACAAATAGTTAATTTTAATGTTGAATAAGTTTAAATATAAACAATTATATTTCTTATCGTTATTTCGCGAGATTTCGGCTCATTTTATTACTGACGTCAATGATACTTTGACAACATTGTTTAGAAAGAGTGGCGTAAAAATAAGTTAACAGGATCTACTTTATTATTAGGCACTTAATTACATTACATTTGTATGTATCTAACCCAAGAAACATTATACCACCCTCATTCCACCTATTTCAGAAGTAGGTATACGCCACAGAGCTGTTTGTAGATTTGTTATTGTATGTATATTTCCTCAAGAAAGACATATTTTGTTCTAAAAATTTAGAGGTCCCACGTTCAAGTATCAAATCAGTTAGAAAATCAATGGAAGTAACGAGAATTTGAATTTCACAATAGGTAATATCAGGTACTTTGTACTTTGCTTCACTAGGAGGAAGGTACTCCGCAAAACAATGCAACCAAGAATTATATTGTAAATCTGATTGAAAAAGAGTAACCTATACAGTTTCTTGCTCGTTCTTCTCCATAGAAATCTACACTTTGAAACGAAAATATAACTTCAATACAGGATTGACCGACAGACGGACAATTGTTTAATATTTCAATTTTAACATATTGTTTTCACGTTCAAAAGTGCCTTTCTGGTCTAATAAATGATTTTGAATTTGATTTTGATCAACCCCGGTACGGACACAACAGTTGTATTTGCGATCAGACTACTACATAACAGACAACAATGAACAACACAACTTATTAACTTAATAATAAATTGAAGATGCCTTTGTATCTAGTCAAAATTAATTTACTATCTGTAAAATATGACATGGTACAATATTATTCAGAAAGATTAACACTAGACTGCCTCGTTGGCCGAGTGGTCGCAAGTGCGACTGCCGGGCAAGGGGTCTCGGGTTCGATTCCCGGGTCGGGCAAAGAATTACTAGGTTGTTAAAAAATTCTCAGAAGTAGTACGGAGTCTAGAATTGTGCCCGGTATATGGAAATAGGCTCACCCCCTATTACACGGGACTCATAACATAAATAGAGAAAAGTGGGTGTTACATTGTAGTGGCATACAACCTCTGCCTACCCCTTCGGGGATATAAAGCGTGATGTTATGTTATGTTTTATTAACGCCTGAATACTGAAAGGCTACTTAATTTTAAGTTGTAGGTACTTAGTAGTGACAGAACTTTATAAAATTTAGTAGCGTTTGAGTATTTCGAAATAAATGCATAAATAATAATCGCGCCATCCAAGCGAACGCAACAAAATAAAAAAAAATATACATGTTTGTAAAAATATGTGTTCTTCTTTATAAAATAGTTATCTAGGTATTTGGATCTATTTTTATCATGTGTCATCTTTTTGACTCAAGTCCAATTAGTGTTTTTTTAAAGAAAAATACAAAATATACACTTATATTAATCTTATGTACCTAACCAGGTAATATTATGGTGGTTTGTAGAGTTAATCAACCTCTTAAAAGTCAGAAATAGTCAGAATTTACCTAGGTAGGCAATTCGGTTTGACCATAAGCTTTACGTAGGTAGGTATAAGATAACTAATGAACAAAATTGTAAATTTCAAACAACTACGAACTCTTAACGAAACTAAATTAGGTTATTAGGTAAATTAAATATCGTTAGGTACTATATCAGGCAAATTGTAAACCCATACGTAAGTAGGTGTCGCGAAGAACCTAACGGGTAACCGGGGCTCCGACTCGACGTGCAGGAGAAGGAACGGGGTGGTTTTTAGTCAGTAAGAGTCTCAGTAAGAGTCCCTCCCGCCTCACCCAGGCGGGAGCAGTCATTCGATGATTTTCCCTCCTTAAAAAAAAAAACGTAAGTAGGTACAAACAATAAAAACATCTGTATGTTTTATTAAGTAGGTACCTATGCATAATAAGCAATAGTTACTTTACACTTTGATAATAGGTAAGGACTGAAGTGGTTCTAATTAGGTACCTTATTAACCTTCCATCTTACTAATATTATCAATCCGAAAGCTTGTATGTCTGTTTGTTACTCCTTCACGCCAACACGGTCATCATACTGGTCAGAGCGTGATGTTTTATAGCTTAAGGATTTCCTCTCTATTCAAACCAGTAGATGAAGTAGATCAGGAGATGAACGTGTTCAGACAAACAAACTAATTAACTATACCCCATTGCCTATGCCTAGATCGTCACATAAGAGCTC